TCCTCCTCCTCCTCTTCCTCCTCCTCCTCCTCCTCCTCCTCCTCCTCCTCCTTTTCCTGGTTTTCCTGCCCTTTTCCAGCTTTTCTTCTCCTTTTCCTCTGCTTTCCCTCCTCTTCCTCCTCCTCTCCTTTTTCTCCTTTTCCTGCTTTTTCTCCTTTTTTCCTTTTCCTGCTTTTCCTCTCCTCCCTTCCTCCCTTCTTCCCTTTCCCCTTTTTTCTTTCTCTCCTTTCCCTGATTTTTCCTTATTTTCTCTTTTCCTTGTTTTTTCTCCTTTTCTTCCTTTTCCTTTTCCCTCTTTTTCCCTTTCCCTGTTTTTCCTTTCCTTTCTTTCCTCTTCCTTCTCCTCCCTTTTCCCTTTCCCTCATTTTCTCTTTTCCTTTTTCTTTTCCCACTTTTCCTTTCTTCTCCTTTCCTTTTTTTTCCTTTCCCTCCTTTTCCTTCTTTTCCCTTTTCCATCCTTTTTCCTTTCCTTCTTTCTTTTCCCTCCTTTCTCAGATCCCAGGGAATTCCCTGCAGGGGAATTGGGGATTTTTGGGATGATCCCAAGGTGGGTTGGGGATTTTTGGGAAGTTGATCCCAGGGAATTCCCTGCAGGAGAATTGGGGATTCTCCAGGTCGATTCCCAGGGATTTTTGGGAAGTTGATCCCAGGGAATTCCCTGCAGGAGAATTGGGGATTCTCCAGGCCCATTCCCAGGGATTTTTGGGATGATCCCAGGGAATTCCCTGCAGGAGAATTGGGGATTCTCCTGACCCATTCCCAGGGATTTTTGGGATGATCCCAGGGAATTCCCTGCCGGGGAATTGGGGATTTTTGGGATGACCCCCTGGAATTCCTGCAGGAATACGTGGCCAACAAGACGCGGAAGACGGAGGAGCGGCGCCGCGGGATCCGGGACATCAACGCCGTGATCCAGCAGATCCAGCGGGAGCAGGACCTGACCCAGGGTACCCCGGAATTCTGGGAAGGGCTGGGAACCCCGGGAACGGCTCTGGAATGGCCCAGAGGGATCGGCCATTCCTGATCCCGATCCCGATCCCGATCCTGATCCCGATCCCGATCCTGATCCCATTCCTGATCCCATCCCTGATCCCATTCCCCATCCCTGATCCCATTCCTGATCCCGATCCCGATCCCGATCCCGATCCTGATCCCATTCCTCATCCCATTCCTGATCCCTGATCCCATTCCCGATCCCATTCCTGATCCCTGATCCCGATCCTGATCCCATTCCTCATCCCATTCCTGATCCCTGATCCCATTCCCGATCCCATTCCTGATCCCTGATCCCATTCCTCATCCTATTCCTGATCCCATTCCCCATCCCTGATCCCATTCCCGATCCCATTCCTGATCCTGATCCCGATCCTGATCCCATTCCTGCTCCCATTCCCGATCCCATTCCCTGATTCCCAATCCCGATTCCCGTTTTCCAGAGCTGGGCCTGGAGCATTTTGTGCGGAAGGTGGAGGCGGCTCACTGCTCCGCCTGTGACCTGCTCCCATTCCCGATCCCATTCCCGATCCCATTCCCGATCCCATTCCGATCCCATTCCTGATCCCATTCCCGATCCCATTCCCGATCCCATTCCCGATCCCATTCCCGATCCCATTCCCGTTTTCCAGAGCTGGGCCTGGAGCATTTCATACGGAAGGTGGAGGTGGCTCACTGCTCCGCCTGTGACCTGATCCCATTCCCGATCCCATTCCCGATCCCATTCCCGATCCCATTCCCGATCCCATTCCCTGATTCCCGATCCCATTCCCGTTTTCCAGAGCTGGGCCTGGAGCATTTCATACGGAAGGTGGAGGCGGCTCACTGCTCCGCCTGTGACCTGATCCCATTCCCGATCCCATTCCCGATCCCATTCCCATTCCCGATCCCATTCCCGATCCCATTCCCGATCCCATTCCCATTCCCGATCCCATTCCCGATCCCATTCCCGATCCCATTCCCGATCCCATTCCCTGATTCCCGATCCCATTCCCAATCCCATTCCCGTTTTCCAGAGCTGGGCCTGGAGCATTTCGTACGGAAGGTGGAGGCGGCTCACTGCTCCGCCTGTGACCTGCTGCTCCCGATGCACTTCGGCGCCGTCCAGCGGCACCTGCGCTCCCCGGAGCACAACCACAACCGCCGGGTGAGCCACATCCCGGAATTCCCGGAATTCCCCTGGGATCCCACCCACATCCCGGGAATTCCCCTGGGATCCCACCCGAACACCGGGAATTCCCCTGGGATCCGACCCGAATCCCGGAATTCCCCTGGGATCCCACCCACATCCCGGAATTCCCCTGGGATCCCACCCACATCCCGGAATTCCCCTGGGATCCGACCCAAATCCCGGGAATTCCCCTGGGATCCCACCCACATCCCGGGAATTCCCCTGGGATCCCACCCACATCCCGGAATTCCCCTGGGATCCGACCCACATC